ATCAATGAATCAGGTCTACATAAATTAAAAAAAAAAAAAAAGACTTTTTCTTCAGTCTACAAATTATATTCCAAAGATCTACACTACAGGTTATGTTCCTCATCTCTAACACCCACACCTTGTTTCTCATATTTTTCATCACTTTCCTCCCAAAAAAATACCCAACGTCCCTTCAGTGTATAATCTCTAAAGTCTGCCTCTCCATCTCCTTCACCTACCATCACACAGATACATTTGTCCTTTTGGGACTCTTTTGCCTTTTAATGCTTCTCCAGCGATGGGTAAGAAGGGAAAAGTCAAAAAGTAAACAAGATCAATAAGACTGCTATTTTCAAAGTTCTGCTTTGCAAAAACTGCTAGAATCCTCAGGATGTAATCAAATATTTAGACGATTCATCTTTCTTTTTAATGAGCCTAACTTTGAACATAATTCTCAAGTCAACGCAGGCAAGGTGCAGTGGCTCACACCTGTAATCCTAATACTCTGGGAGGCTGAGGCAGGCAGATCACTTGAGTCTAGGAGTTCGAGACCAGCCTGGGAAAATTGGTGAGACCCGCCTGGGAAACTTGGTGAGACCCTGTCTCTACAAAAAAAGTTTAAAAATTAGCTTTAGCTGTGGGCCCTGTGCAGTGGCTCACACCTATAATCCCATCACACTGGGAGGCTGAGGTGGACAAATCACCTGAGTCCAGGAGTTTGAGACCAGCCTGTGAGACATGGTGAAACCCCATCAATAGAAAAAATCAGCCGGGCATAGCAGCACATGCCTGTAGTCCAAACTACTTGGGAAGCTCAACCAGGACAACTCCTCGAGCCCAGCAGGCAGAAGTTGCAGTGAGCCAAGATCACACCACCGCATTCCAGCCTGGGCAAATGAGTGAGATCCCCTCTCTCACATACACATACACACACACACACACACACACACACACAAATTAGCTGGGCATGGTGGCACATGTGTGTACTACTAGCTACTCCACAGGCTAAGGCAGGGGGAGCCCTTGAGCCCAGCAGCTGGAAGTTGCAGTGAGCCATGATCACAAAATTGCACTTTAGCCTTGGTGACACAGTGAGACCCTGCCTCAAAAAATAAAGTGAGTGTAATAGTTCTCAATATCCCTGGTTAAGTACAAGTTTTTCAATTTAAATTGTAGTAAACACTACACTATATATAGCTCACCCAAATCATTCATTACCACCACCACTACTGTCCTTAAAATTTAAAACATGCAGCTGAGTATGATGGCCCACATCTATAATCTCAGTACTTTGAGAAGCTGAGGCAGGACTATCACTTGAGCCCAGGAGTTCGAGACCAGCCTCAGCAACACAGGGAGACCCTATCTCTACAAAAAATAATAATAATAATAATAATTATCTGGGAGTGGTGGCGCACACCTGCAGTCCCAGCTACTCAGGAGACTGAGGCAGGAGGATTGCTTGAGGGGTTGGCTGAGGTTGCCATGAGCCACCATTACGGCACTGCACACCAGCTTGGGCAACAGAGCAAGATCCTGTCTCAAAAAAAAAAAAAAAGAAAAGAAAAAGTAAAACACGTGAAACTATTAACTAAATACTAGAATAATGCTTTTTGTAACTAGCATATTTAAATAAGACAAACAAGATCAACAGGGAGTCAGTGCAGTGTAGTCAATGAGCATTCAAGATCAGCTCAATCGGGGCCGGGCACAGTGGCTCAAGCTTGTAATCCCAGCACTTTGGGAGGCCAAGGCGGGTGGATCACGAGGTCAAGAGATCGAGACCATCCTGGTCAACATGGTGAAACCCCGTCTCTACTAAAAATACAAAAAAATTAGCTGGGCATGGTGGCCCGTGCCTGTAATCCCAGCTACTCAGGAGGCTGAGGCAGGAGAATTGCCTGAACCCAGGAGGCGGAGGTTGTGGTGAGCCGAGATCGCGCCATTGCACTCCAGCCTGGGTAACAAGAGCGAAACTCTGTCTCAAAAAAAAAAAAAAAAAGATCAGCTAAATCACAGCTATATCACCTCTCTCTGGTGTCCTTAGTTACTGGGGCGAGTGTATACATTCAAGTTCATTTTATCACCCTTTTGGCATCGTCTAATATAATAGCTATGAAGCCAGACCAGTGACACATGCCTCTAGTCCCAGCTACTTGGGAAGCTCAGGTAGGATGATCACTTGAGCCCAAAAGTTCAAGGCTGTAGTATACTACGATCATACATGTGAAGCCACTGCACTCCTGCCTGGCCAGCACAGCAAAACCCACTCTAAATAAATAAATAAAGTGATAATGATAATTATGAATCTTACTATTTTGCGTTCTTATAGTAACCTTACCTCAAATCATGTAGCTCTCCCACACACACACACACACACACACACACACACACACAGCCCGTATCATCCCAGTATCACATATATACATTTACTGTGTTGAATATATCTGTTGCTATATTATTGGTTAGGAAAACAACTTCAATAGTACTCTCCAAAATATGATAGCTCTACTATGAAGGTACCAAGAACACATGAAAAAAAAAAAAAAGACACTTGCTTTCTTGATGAAACTGTTTCTAGATCACTTGACATCCTAATGCCTAAGAAATAAGTTTAAGACTTAAAATCTCTTTTCCTATTCCTCTTGATCTAAATACTAGCATTCTTACTTAGGTCAAAGTTACTTTCGTTTGTCAAACCACTAATTTTCTGATTTCATTATTCTGCAGTCTGAAATATTACAGATGTATCTTTGCCCAGTCCTTTCATTTTCATCTATTTCTCCTAAAGACAGAAATATTTTGAACACTGAGATTTAGTTTAATCCCCTCACATATAGGTAATAAAATAACCCAAAAAAATTAGTGTTTTCTAGATTTTGGCTACTAGACAAAGAAAAACTTAAGCGTCATCATTCTCTTTCTAAAATACATTTTCACTGAGACTGGGGATTTATGTATTTGCCAGAATCAAAGAAAAACACCAAGCTACTAATATACTGGTTCCCTCAGGAACTCTACTAATCAAAGTAGTCTTTCCAACTTTTAAGTATTATATTTTCACATAGCTAGTTAGGGCATGAAATGAGCAAACAGTCTAATAGAAGCTAAGTAGATGCAGAATAATTTTTCCTATTCGTCACAATCTCCCAATGGCTAGATTTTATCAAAGGGATCATAAAATCAAAAAACACTCTTAAGATTCTAGAAACTTCTGTAATATTAGTGCTTTGAGAGATCAAGGCAGGAGGACTGCTTGAGCCCAGGAGTTCAAGACCAGACCTGCCTGGGCGACAAAACAAGACCCTGTCTCTGTATTTTTTTAAATTAAAATAACAATTTTAAAGATCCTAGAAACCTAAAATTAATTGCCATAAATTAGGGACCAGGTCTGCTTACCTATAATTAAAATTCATCATGCTTCTTTAACAGAAAGAAGTCTTGAAGTATCCACCAAAGAGAGACTAAAATAGCCTTCTGTGAGAAGCAGCCTTCTCCATCAAAAAAAAAAAAAAAAAAAAAAAAGTATTTCTAGAGTCTTATCTTTTAGAGGGAAAATACTAGCACAGGAAGCTATACGAAGATACACTGTAAGTGAAAACACACAGTAAGTAAAAAAGTGCTATTATTTCTTAACTTTTTTTACATTTCCAACTAAGAGAAATACAAACAAGATTAATCAACCTCCTGATGCATAAGGTTTACAAAACGAATGCACAAAGTTTACAAACAATTGCACAAGTCTCAATAATCAGTATGACCTAGATTTGGGGAAATACAGAAAAGAGAATAGATAGATTGTAATATACCAAATATTAGCAGATATAGCCGAGGGGTGAAATGTGATTTTTTTAAAAACTGTCTTATTGATACTTTTTTACAACTTTCCAAATTTCCCCACAGTGAACATTACTTTTATATTTTTTAAAACTCATTAAAAAATAAACCATATGACATATAATAAAGGGTTCACTAAGAAGGGCTCTCTATGGTGTCCAATTATTACTGACATGATTCACCATTAAAGGGATGAATACCCTTCAATTTCCACTATTAAAATGCTGCTGTTTAACGTCCTATTATTTTTCTGTTGCACCCTCAACGATGCAATGAACTTCACTATCTCCTACCATTTCATTTCTGCATACAACACGCTTTTAATTTTTCTTAAAATATGGTAAAAGTTCTCTCTAGAAAAAAAAAAGTTCTCTCTAATCCTCAATATTCCACTTTTTAAAACCTATCTCTAAATTTCGTCATAACGGAATTAAGAGGAAAAAACTGTTTTAACCAAGAATTACAACTTCGTTAAGCCACCATCACTTTGGCTAGGGAAAAGTGAACGCCGGGTAAACTACACGTCCCACCATGCATTGCTGCCTTGTTCAGAGTAGGTCTCTACGGAAACAGGAAAAAAAAAATTCTACAAGTCCCACCTGTTACTTCGTTTCTAAACACCTCCTGCACTTTCGGCTCCAACACCAAACAAAAACAAAAGCCTCGTGATCTCACGTCCGCTCCGGGAGCCAGACAAACAGGGGCCCCGAAGTCAGGCGGCATGTCCGCCGTAACGGGTAAATTCTATCCCGCTCTAGCGCTCCCCTCTCCTTTCCGGGGCTGGATGCACGCACAAGCCTTCTCCTAACTGCATCCAATGGGGGCTCTCCAGCCGCACAAGGGAGAAGAACCGGCTACCGTGCAAGCACCACAGACTTCCCCGTCCGGGGCGGGGGCTACCACAGAGCGGAGGTGATAGCGACGTGACCCCAAGAGACAGCCCCAAAGCACCGAGAGGACTCGCCGCAGACGCGGAGAGAAGCCATGGCCCCGCGGCGCTCACGTTCCGCCAGGCGCCTCCATTCCCACAGGGATCGCAACCCCGACACTAACCGCCGCCCTCTACGCGCGGTTTTGTGCCCCCTCCACCGGGTCGCTGAGCCAGTGGCCTCCCTTCCCCTGCGACTGGCGGGCGACAAGGAGCAAAATCCTCCCGGCCTTCCCCTTCGCTCTCTCCCCCTTACCGTCTTGGCGGCCTCCGCCCAGGTCCTGCCCTTCTTCCTACGTCCCTTTTCCCTCATGTCGGGTCTTGAACTGACTGGGAGGCTCCCGTGTCCGGGCTCCGGCCGCCCTCCCTGCCTGCTCTGCCCTGCGCTGCTTTTCCCGCGGTGCCGGGAAAGGTGGGAGAAAGGGGAAGTCAGGCCGGAGGGGCACCCAAGCAGAGGAAGCGGCGGGGGTGGTGCGCGGGGGGGTCTATGGGGCGGCCGGTCCTCCTGCTGCCGTTGCCACTGCTACCGCCGCTGCCATATTGGGTTCTTACTGTACAGGCTACCGCTACGGTCATGTGACCGCTCCCGCGCGGCCGTCACTACTGTACGCACCAGGCCGCGCGAACGAGCGCGGGCGCGTCCCCGCCTCCACAGCCGGGCCGCTGAGCGAGCGAGCCGGCGGTCTGCAGTGCCTCGCCACGCCCCCACCCTTCCGGTCTCCACCTCTCCGCAGGAGCATGCGCGCGAGGGAGGCCTCGGGCGCACTCTGCGTCTGACGCCCGGCGCTCACACCTACAGCTAGTATCTGCGGCGGAAGCAGCGCTTGATCCATCCGGGAAGGCTGATCCAGCAGATGCCGCCTGGTGCGAGACGCTGCGCAGGCTGCTTAGACCTGGGGAGCTGACCTGTTCCCTCCCTCGTCCCTCTGCCAACTATCACTTTAGATAAGCCCCGTGCTTGTGTTTTCTCATTTATGTTCATTTTTACAGAGGTTATCTTTTTGAAGGTAGGCAACAGTTCTCGTCTACCTGTTAACCCCATTTGGTAGGTGAAGCAACTGAGATTCAGTGACTTGCCAAGCTCACGAGTCTGGGATGTGGAGAAACCAAAAATCACATTGCCAGCTCAGAGCCCTTTCCGTCTCCTCAGAATGCTTCAAACTTAGGTGACTTTGTTTTTAAGGCCACGAGTAACTGCATCCACGCTTTTTACATGTGAAGCCACTCATCAATAACAGAAATGGTGTCTTCTTTATTTCGGTGAGCTCAGTCCCTGGCACAGTGCCTGTACATATCAGGCGCCCAGTAAATATTTGCTGAATGATTCAGCTATTTCTGTGGTCAGAGACCATTATTTGTAGTGCCCATAACAGCCTTCTGAAAGTTCCAGAATGTGACATCTTCTGTTACATTATCTATGTGTTGATACTTGGCAAAGTAAGAAAAGTATAGTAACACCTGCTGATCTCCCAGATCCACCTGCTTCCGGAAGCTGCTTCCAAACAATCTAATTTACCGTAGTGTGGTATAGGACTGAGGATTGGATTGCCTCTTGGGAGGAAAGGCAGATGAGAGCAATACAAGTGAGAGCAACAAAGCAAGACTCTGTCTCAAAAAAAAAGAAAAAGTCAGTCTTCTCCATCTCTGGCTGTTGCGTTGAGTACCGCTTACCATCCAGTCCTGTTGTTTGGTCAACTGGTTTTCAGAACCTGCTAGACCAGATGATCCAACTCTCCTTACTTTGCATTTCTGGAGCTCTATCCCCGGGTTTTAATTTGAAGGATAGGGGTTGTGATGTTGTGGTTCTTCTTAATCTTCCACAGATAAAGATAGTTTAGTATTATTATAGAGGTATAATTCCCCAGAAAGCATTTTATCCCTAGGTCTATTGATTGAATTTGTTATTCCTATTTGCATCTCTCTCATGAACTTCTCTTGAAATTTATGGATGCATTTCAGAAGTTCACGGACTCCCTTAAATTATGAATTATATTTTGTGTTATATGTGAATTTTTTGAGAAGAGGATTCATAACTTATCCTCCATTTTTCAAAAAGGTTCTGTTGTGCCAGAAAAAAACAAAAAGGTATTATAGGGAGTTTGAGAGACCATCTAGAAGTATCTACATATTTATATCTCCCTTCAGTCATGGGTCAGACAGCACATTTCAGCAATTGATATGGATATGTTTTCCCAAATGTCTTTAATAATTCATAGCCCTATCCATTACACATGTAGTATGTACCACCTCCCTCCAAAGCTTATGTCTGTACTCTAAGAAGGCCTTCTCACCAGGCACGGTGGCTCACACTTGTAATCCCAACATTTTGGGAAGCCGAGGAGGACGGATTAATTGAGGTCAGGAGTTCAAAACCAGCCTGGGCAACATGAAGAAACCCCATATCTACAAATAATACAACATTTGGTCGGTCACTGCGGCTCATGCCTATAATCCCAGCACTTAGGGTGGCCGAAGTGGGTGGATCACTTGAGGTTGGGAGTTCGAGACCCACCTGACCAACATGGGGAAACCCCGTCTCTACTAAAAATACAGTATTAGCCGGGCATGGTGCCATGTGCCTGTAATCCCAGCTGCTCAGGAGGTTGAGGCAGGAGAATCGCTTAAATCTGGAAGGCAGAGGTTGCAGTGAACCCAGAGATCAGGCCATTACACTCCAGTGTGGGCAACAAAGCAAGACTCTGCCTCAAAAAAGAAGAAGAAGAAGAAAAAGAAAGCCTTCTCTGGCCAAGCACAGTGGCTCACGCCTGTAATCCTAGCACTTTGGGAGGCCGAGGTGGGTGGATCACCTGAGGTCAGGAGTTCAAGACCAGCCTGGCCAACATGGTGGAACCCTGTCTTTACTAAAAATACAAAAATTAGCCAGGCGTGGTGGCAGGCACCTGCAATCCCAGCTACTCAGGAAGCTGAAATGGGAATCGTTTGAACCCAGTATGCAGGGTTGCAGTGAGCCGAGATAGCGCCCTTGTACTCTGGCCTGGGCAGCAAGAGCAAAAACTCTGTCTTAAAAATAATAATACACCGAAGTAAAATAGAACTTGAATGTAAAAAAAAAATAATAATAATAATACACCAAGTTTCCATTTCAACTGAGTTTCTCAAAAAAAAATGATAATAATAATATTTGGTGTGGACAATCAGACAAAAATAAGAAAAAGAAAAAAAAAAAGTCTTCTCCATCCCTGGCTGTTGAGATGAGTATGGCTTATCATCCAGTCCTGCTGTTTGGTCCTGGAGCCCAACTGGTTTTCAGAACCTACAGAACCTACTAGATCAGATGATCCAGCTGACTTTACTTTGCATTTCTGGAGTTCTATCCCCAGGTTTTAATTCCTTTTTTTTTTTTTTTTTAATTTGTTATTCCTATTTGCATACCTCTCGTCCACACCCTCATTCTGGATTTCCTTAGATACTCTGTTTCTATTCTCACCCTACTCAAGCCTACCCTTCAGGGGATGCCAAATCTGTCTTCTTAAAACTCCACCCATGGCTGGCTGTGGTGGCTCTGGCCTGTAATCCCAGCACTTTGAGGCAGGCAGATCACAAGGTCAGGAGTTCAAGACCATTCTGGCCAATACGGTGAAACCCCATCTCTACTAAAAATACAAAATTTAGCTGGGTGTTCTGGCAGGCGCCCACAGTCCCGGCTACTTGGGAGGCTGAGGCAGGAGAATCTCTTGAACCTGGGAGGGGGAGGTTGTGGCAAGCCAAGATTGCACCACTGCACTCCAGCCTGGGTGACAGAGAAATCTCCATCCACTACCCTACTGAGATATACTCCCTAGCTCTTGATTGAGTCACAGTTTCTTAGCTTTACATATACAGTTTCTATAATCAACCTAGTCATCCTTTGATTTATCTCTGGTTACTTCCATCAGCATTGGCCACTCCCCTGAAGACTCCTACCCCTACTTTTGCCTCTTTATTTGACTAATAACATTGCTTCCTACATCATGTAAAAATTATTGGCCACCAGTTGCAGTCTCACCTTGCCTTCCTTCAGTCCCTAGATTTACCCATAAGTTCACCCATTCTAACCGCCTTCTCCTCCTCCTTACCATAGCCTAATACCTCTTTCAATACAGGACACTATCCCTTCTCATCTTCCTTGAAATGTTGCCCCATTTTTTTATTTTTCCTTTTTTTTTTTTTTTGAGACAGAGTTTCGCTCTTGTTACCCAGGCTGGAGTGCAATGGCGCGATCTCGGCTCACTGCAACCTCCGCCTCCTGGGTTCAGGCAATTCTCCTGCCTCAGCCTCCTGAGTAGCTGGGATTACAGGTACGCGCCACCATGTCCAGCTAATGTTTTGTATTTTTAGTAGAGACAGGGTTTCACCATGTTGACCAGGATGGTCTCAATCTCTTGACATCGTGATCCACCCGCCTCGGCCTCCCAAAGTGCTGGGATTACAGGCGTGAGCCACCGCGCCCAGCTCATTATTTTCTAGTTCTGATACTCCTCCACCTCTTCTATAAGCATATTCAAGACGCTTCCAGCTTAAAGAAATCTCTTTACTCTACCACCCTTTCATACGAAAGTATTTTTCCTCTCTTTCTTGCCCATAAATATCTTCAACGTGTGACCTACACTCACTGTCTCCACTTCCACAACTTCCACCCACTCCTCTGCCCTACTAAGTGTAACAATGCTTTACATCTACAAATAAAGGTTTGACTCTTTCGTGGTAAAGTGAATGAATGACCTGCTTTGACAAACTTTAGCTCAGGGTACTGTAGAAGATGAAATCATGGTTTTTAGGCTACAAATGTTCAATCCCAACCCATTAGAATGCTTTATCTTGGAAATCATATAGGATTTTTATTTTCAAAATAAAATTAACTTTTTTTTATCTTTACCAAACTGCTCATTGTAAAAATTCTACAGATATTTGTTTTGTCTGTGGAAGCAGAGACAGCCTTGACTCCTTGTGCAAGTTATATAATGGAGTGCTCTCAGAAGAAACCTGCAACGGTGTGAGGGAAGCATCACAGAGAAGGGAAGAAGCTGGCTGGGCACAGTGGCTCACACCTGTAATGGCAGCACTTTGGGAGGCCAAGGTGGGCAGGTCGCTTGAGGTCAGGAGTTCAAGACCAGCCTGACCAACATGGTGAAACAAGATCTCTAACAAGGCCGGGCGCGGTGGCTCAAGCCTGTAATCCCAGCATTTTGGGAGGCCGAGGCGGGTGGATCACGAGGTCGAGAGATCTAGACCATCCTGGTCAACATGGTGAAACCCCGTCTCTACTAAAAATACAAAACATTAGCTGGGCATGGTGGCGCGTGCCTGTAATCCCAGCTACTCAGGAGGCTGAGGCAGGAGAATTGCCTGAACCCAGGAGGCAGAGGTTGCGGTGAGCCGAGATCGAGCCATTGCACTCCAGCCTGGGCAACGAGAGCGAAACTCCGTCTCAAAAAAAAAAAAAAAAAAAAAAAAAAAAGATCTCTAACAAAAAATACAAAAATTAGCTGGACATGGTGGCGTATACCTGTAGTCCCAGATAATTAAAAGGTGGAGGCTAGGCGCGGTGGCTCAAGCCTGTAATCCCAGCA